AAGAACAAAAGGACATTGCAAATGGTACCCACACTCAACGTGCATTACACGCACAGACACCCACATGCTGAGATGCATACTTTACCAACGCCTTTGTACAGTTATTAATGCCCTGCGGCACGCTCTCCAAATTGAATCTAATCAAGTGAAATGCTGTGAGGGTCCTCGGGAGAGAGAGCAGGTCTGATGGTGACCGCTTACAATAAAATCTGTGACATTTGGAAACAAAGCCCGCTCTATACCTCTGAGCTGTAATTGCGTTTGACAAATGCCGCAATCTCGGATAAATGTGTCTCTGCAGTGCAAGGTGTACGTGTTTCTGAGCAAGAATGTGTTTGCTGATGGTTCTGTGGACTTTGTGGCAGCTCTGTGGCTTAAGATATCTACATATATGTGTTTCTGTATGATGGTTGAATGGTTTTATTCATTCTGTTGAAGTGTTCTTCATACTGGAGCACAGAGGAACTAATTACAATAATTGTTGGGAATGCAGCTGCTGTAAATATCCTGAACAGTGTCCCTTCTGTCCTTTTCCTGCTGCACATTGCAGGGATTTTTATGAGCCTCAAAAATAAAAAAGCCCCAACAGGGGCAAAATATAGACTATTTCCAAATCTGCTCTTTTAAAGACACCCCGTGTCTTTAAAAGAGCAAAGCAGAAACTTGCTGATTAGCCACCCCTGAAAAATTAAGTTACCATGAGAAACACTCCTGAATGTCATGTCTTAGAGCTTTGTAAAAACAGACAGGATTGTGAATAAATTATGCAAAACTGCACTTCAAACTGCCTGACTCTGCTTCATCAACTGTTGAACCATGCAGTCGGCTTTGTGCGGCAACAAAATATTACGACTTTTGGAGTGAGCGGAATTCAAAATATGAGTTTAGGCGATAGAAACAACTAGAAAGCAGTCTGTGCTGTGAATGGCTCATAGAAAATCACTGTGCAGTAGTTTTGCTTGTCGTGATGTGTTGCTTTACTGCTGTACTTTGACAATGAGGGGAAAAAATGAGATGCGTCCAAAGATACATTTATAGCACTGAATACTTTGATATGTAAATGACTTCAGAAGCAGACGTGGATTTTCACAACAGGGGCACCTGTTCTCTATTTGTTTCCCAAGTAGTTTGAAAGGTTGCAGGGATTGACTGCAGCTAACAACACGTGTGGATGTGAAATAAAATGCAGCCATACATATATTGGTATTGGTTAACATATGTTACACAGTGGGATCTTTTTTATGACATATCAAGCAGCAATATATCTTGTATGACCTGTACGTGTGTTTAGATGAGCAGCTCTACTGACATTTCTGTGACTCTTGGTGTTGGACAAATAAAGTCTATAGTCTTTATAAATTGTTAAACAAATAGAATATTTTGATATTTTTTATCTATCACTGAAGTCTAGCAATTACATTCACAATACAACACATCTCAAATGTTCTCAAACTGCATAAATGCATGTAATGTATAGCTTTCCAAAAGCAAAACAGAAATTACATTAGATAACAGAAAAACAGATTAATTAACTTTTATTTCTCAAGCTAAGATATTTTGCTGTTCTGCTCTTGGAGGAGCAATGCGAGTATAATTTTGCTCTTTACTCAGTATTTATTGATACCAGGCCCTTGCCTTCCCATTACATAGAGTTTTGCATGAGATGGAAAAGACAGAAAGGATATCAGAGATTTATGTAGGTCTCCTCAAGTTCAGCATAGCTGTAGATTTATTCACGCACCTCAGCTTTAAAGACTGGAAACTTTGATCACCCTGGTTTTTATTTGCAAGCACATTTCGCTGCATACCCTTTATCTTTTTAACAGCAGAACTGCAATGTCCCTAATAACACCGTTAGTTCTCACTAACAGATTTATAGTTTTCTCCTGGAGGAAACTACCTTCTAATGTTCTACCAGCATTTACTTACAGGTAATTAAAGCTTCAGTCACTCTGGAACATTTTCTGTCATCTGATCAGAGGGGCTTTAAAGCATAGAAAGATTTGAAGGAATAACTATATTTCTTTTAATCTTGATGTAACTTAATAGGCCAATGATTAATTATTTTATTATTTTTTCTAATAATATGCCTTCCATTTCAGAATGTCCAATAAAAACTCTCATAATTTTGCAGGAATGCTTATTAGCTAATAAATCTTATCACATTTGTAGACCAGAATGATGTATTTTGCGAAAACTCCCTCTTCATACAGAATTTAGTCATATTTCCTGCCAAAAAATGGGTTGCTTAACCATTTGTTGATGCCAGAAAATCTTGCGTCACATTTAATTTCTATTGTTCATTCAATTTTAGTGCCATTTTCTACTGTTTAATAAAAAAAACTAAACCTTAAAAATCCAACTTCCTTTTAGTTTTACATGAAAGTATTAAAGTTATGATTTTCTGAGTGAAAATCTCATCACTATGATATGAATAGAATAACCAAAGCAGTTTATCTGCATGTTTCTTCTGTATTATGCATCACGACTTTCCTGTTGCAACATGGGACATCTCTATGTCATGCCTTTATCTCTTCAATGTTGAATAATAAACTCCCAGTTGCAAGTCTTTAAATTCATGGTATTTTTATTTGGCAGGCGATGGCAGCCAGTCAGACGGACCACCATTTTGGCCCAGACTGAAATATCTAAACAGCTATTTTGATGGATTGCTCGCAAATTTTACACACGCAATTATGCCTCCCTGGGGACGGGCTGTGAAAACTGTCGTGATCCCTTCGTCTCTGTGCTCGGGTTTATGGCCAAATACCTTAAAAATGTAACATTTCTCCCCGTCAGGCTCAGCTGCTATTGCCATTTAATCCTTTTTAGGACATTTCAGCAACCTAACACCGCCAGATTGATTCACCTACGCTCCATTTTAGATCTGTCATTGTGACTTTGTATTTGTGCCTCTAGTATAACATTAACCGTTTAATTGTCCAACGGATTATTCTCTTAACTTTTATGAACGTTTATCACGTTGATTGTGCTTCCTGTCCCGAGGGTGGTCAAATTAACATTGACAGCTTTGCCAGTAAGTTGTTACACCTGATTATTTATTAGTCAAATACACGTGTCAGCTGGATATTAGTTTAATTGCTAACCAATAACAGAGTTGGAGGTTGACTGAGTTTAACAGAAGCACAACAGCCTGAAATAAACAGTGAGTGTTGATTATAGAGCTAGATATAAAAGAGTAATGTACATTCGGTGTTTGCCTTTAATACGGTCGATCAGTTAGCAACAAAAACAACCCCCTTTTCACATGCCCATCACACCTGCCCAATCTAAACTGCTGTAAGGATTTCCCACCATCTCGTTACAAAACTGGTCGAGCAAAATGGCAACGCTTCTTTGAGCTGTTTTCACATTCCTCCCAGAAAGCCATGCATGACATCCAACGTTTCTAACACGCACCTAGACAATAAAATACAGCTTGCTGTTTGCTGGCACACATTAAAAAAGAGGTGTTCTTTGAGAATAAAAGGAAAGGAAGTGAAACTCTCGAAAGTTATTTAAAGTCACAATGAAACAGCGTAAAAGCATCTCACTTCCTTAACATGAGTCTAAATAGTAGTGAGTGTTAAATAAGATGATAAGGTTGTTAGAAATAAAGTATAGGAGCATCATGGGCCCACACAGAAAATAGACCAAACTTTCCAGAAATTGCTGAAAGTTTTTTTGTTTTTTGTTTTGGGCTATAAATCTGTTTGAGTCCTGAATAAAAGTTCCAATCATTACGTTCATAGGAGGTCAGACTGGCAGCCATACAGCAGTGGATCTGCTGGGAAGTAGCAGTAGCCAACTACTGATCCATAAGGGCGACTGGAGCCATAAAAGCTAAAGAGAGATGGAGGAATAAATGTGTCCTGTAAAATTAAGTGCTGTTCTCTACAAATCTTACTGGAACAGTTAAAGCTATGTGTTTCCTGTTTCCCTGCTGCACATTCCCATTGCATATATTAACCTTTAAGGTGCTTTAATGGTATTTAAAGATTTTTTGTTTTTTTTGTTTTTGAAAGCTCTGTCAGTCACTTTTTAATTCATTATTAAGTTTAGTTTCTCCCCCAAAAGTTAACTGTTTTCAAAGGTTTACCTGGTCACTACTTAAAAATTAACCATGAATACATAAATTCTTGTATTTTTCTGTTTATTTAATTAGTATAGAATAGAATAGAAAATCTCTTTTTTTGTCCCACAATGGGGAAATTCTGGTGTTTACAGCGGCAATAAGATTATATAAAAAATGGACCCAAAAATATGGACCTTAAAAAAAATTTATAAGAATAATATAATATTAAGAATAATAACAAATCAAGTTATGGCAGTGGGCTGCCATTGTGCGGTGCCCGGGGAGCAGTGTTGGTTTAAGGGTCTTGCTCAGAGACCCAGAGTGGCAGTCTGTGGGGGTTGGACTCCAACTCAGAACCTCAGGATTCCAAGCTTTATGTCCTAACCACTAGGCTTCAACTCCTGCAATTTACTGACATTTTCTTTCTTTTTAATTTTTCTTTTTACTTATTCTGTGTGTTTTTTTTTTTTTGTTTTTTTTTTGTTTTTTTTTACTGTGGCTCTGTTTTTAACCCCTGTTGAGCACTTGGTGTTAAGGATCTCACAATACAGCTCTTTCATTTCTAATACGATACCTATATTGCATCCTTGAGAATTGACCCGATACGATATTAGCACCTGTTACACATGCTTTTAATTTTCTTAATTTGCACTTTAGAATGTTAGAAATGGCTTGAACAAGTGATATTACTAAAACAGAGAAGATCAATCAACAACGATTAATAATGAGAACAAGTAACCCTTGAGATATTACCAAAGGGTGACAGAAAGTTTTAGTTTTTCTGGCTAATATCGGATCGATATCAGATATTGATATCGGACATAAGTACTGGTCTACAAATACAAACTGACTGACAGAGTGAACTATATTTTGGAACACTGCAGACGTTTTGATCATTTTTGGTGTTTTTTTCTGTGTTATTCAGGCCAAGAAGAGGATGGACGGAAGGTTTTAGTCCTCAGTTACCCCCAGTACTGTCGCTACCGATCCGTATTGGCTCGGCTCAGAGAGCAGCCGTCCTCGCTGCTCATAGACCACACGGTGCTGGCTCTGGGCGGCATCGCTGCGCTGGGCGGAAGCACAAGGATCCTGTACTGCCGTGACACCTTTGAGCATCCGACCCTTCTTCAAAACGAGAGCATCTGTGACGAGTTTGGTGAGTTTGGCAGCTGGCAAAGACGTTGAAGCATGACATTCATGGAAGTAGCTATATTTAAAACATTGCCTGTCTTGATTTCTGAAACATTAGGATTATTTCCTTCTTGATCTTTTGCAGCAATACACTTTAATGCTCCTAAAACTCATTCTCAACATGATCTTGGCATCCAACTTTCAGTTGTAATTACCTATAACCATACTGATTCTGCTTTAGCAAAACAAAATAAACACTTGGGGAGACTATTGTCTCAGTATGTGGTACCTGGCAACAACAAAAAAATCATAAAATTAAAAACCCCTTTCTTGCAAATAAAAACAGTCTATAAAAGGACAAGCAAAAATAACATATCTTTAGCTTTTGAACAGGGGATTTTTTTCATCTCTCTGGTACGATTATGAAAGGAAGTGCTTTAAATTCTCTCAGTGTTTGAGTCACTCTCTGACTGTGGCTGAGGGTTGTTTACAAATACACCAGTCGGGTGTTAAGTTGGAAAAAAGTGAACTCATCCGACCATTATAGAAGTTTTTCATTCCTCAGACAGGCTATTTGAGACTAAAAAAGCCGCTATAAGGAGTAAATTTTGATTTTTTTTATAGAAAGTTTTGACAAAAACCTTAAAGTAATTGAAGCCATATTGAAGAATCAACTTTAAGCAACTGTGTTTTAAGAAAAAAGATCCATATAAAACAATTAGTTCTTGAAAAATTTATTTCCTTATCCAGCTTCTTATCTGATAAAACAGCAAAACTTAAGATGTTGTTGAAGCTGTTGGCGTGATAATAACACCCTGCTCACAACTGCTTTTTTACACCATCAAACTGGTTCTCTATTGTAGAGCCTTAAAGTCAAGTGTGCATGCCAATAATGCACACCAATCTAAAATAACATTATAACTCGTTGACAGGTAAGGTGAATAGCAGGTATTATCTCTTCATAATGGCACCCATTAGTGAATGAGATACACGTGGCAATGAGTACGCTTTTTTTTTCTTTCTCAGAGTTAGTGGGGGAATTTATAAAGTATCAGAGGATTTTTTATGAGTTTGAGAAGTTCACATTGTGACCAATGAAGAAGTCAGAGCATATCTTGGACTGCGGATGTTTTGGGGTGTCGCTGTTCTGTAGTGGTCTCCCCAGATTATTTAACATGAAGGAAATTATGAGATTCTGGGATAGGATGAAATGCGTAGCAATCCTGCACAAAGCAAGTAGCTAAGATAAATTACCAGACAGCTGGCCACGTGAGCCGATTGTAAAGCCACCACTTGCAGCAGCCAGTACCGTATCTGTCAAAAGTGGTCAGAGTAAGCTGCAGTGGTTAAACCGAGGCTCAGTGGTGTAAGTGGGCATGGAAAACTGACCCATTTGGTCTGATCCAACAGATAACTCACTGCAGTTCAAATTGCTAAGTAGTTTATGGTTCTGAGAGAACGAGCAGAATGAGCAACCCAATGCAGGTGATGCTATTGACACCCTGGCCAGGTCATGTTGGTCAGATTCTTATGACTGACTGGTGTTTGTGGCCAAGCAAGCTAACTCTTTATCACCCTAAAGCTCACTTCTGATGCTGATACGCTAAGCTGATGGAGAGGGATGAGGAAAATATTGTCTTTTATATTGTTTTTAAAATAAAACTAGTGTTATGCCTCCCTTAAGTCATGCAGCCCTAAAATCTAAATTGTATTTACTTTCTTTAGAGTTTGGAGCATCATTAAAGTAGGAAAAAAAAAGAAAAGCAGAAGCATTATGTAAATAGACTTGCTTAGGTTGAATGTCTGCTCTTCTCATTTCCTCACTGGGCTTTTTTCAGTCTATTAGAACCCATGATTTTAACTATAAATATGTATAAAATTGTTTTCTGGTTCAGAGTAGGGCTGGGCGATAATTCAATAACGATATATATCGATCGATAGACGTGTGGCGCAATAGAAAAAAAGAGGGTCGATAAAAGTTCGATAAAAAAGAAACGTAGTTTTCCTTCCTTCTCATTGTAGCCTAGCATGTAGGTTTATGCTAGTCGCTGCTTCCTCCCAACCAATCACAATCGCGGACCCAGGCACGACGTCACCAAGCGCCGCCCTCTCAAACCACAACACAGAGCACATGAAGGTGCAGCAAAGAGAGGCGGAGGAAATTGTTCCAAAGAAAGGTTTTTGTAGTTCGGCAGTATTTCGGTCATGGCAAGTCGGACCAAAAACAAACCACAGTCATCTGGAAAATGTGTAGGGAACCAGTGAAACCAGTCTGATAACGAAACCAACTTTTTTTTTTTTCATCTCAGCCGCTCACAGCCGCAGGAGTACGAGCTGTGTAGGCCCCGACGCGGCTCTCCTCCGAGGAATCTTCGGAAAATATATATATATTTTCAGTTCTGGGCAGTTTCCCACGTAGTTCTAACAATTGAGATAAAAATGCTGAGGGGCCAGAAACTTCAAAGTAATAACTCAGGTTAAAGCAGGAAACGGGGGCGGCGGTGGGGGGGCATTTATTTATTTGTTATATTTATTTTGGTCTCTTTTCTGGTCACTTTAGTTTATTCTTTGTCAGTATTTAATAACATAACTCAGGTCTCTTAAGTAATTTTTCTTTAAAACAATTCTGTTATGGTTAAAAAAGTTGGTTAAATAAAGATTTAATTCGAACTCTGTGTTTGTGTTTTTTATTAAAATTAAATCATTTAGCAATATTATAAAAGTCCAGGCAGAGCTGCACATAAAATATGGTTTCAAATCTTTTCAATAATTATCGATATCGATCAATATGCATTTTTTTTTATCGATAAGCTTTTTTTCTATATCGCCCAGCCCTAGTTCAGAGGTAGGTAAAGGGAAAAAATCCCCCTTTGCCTACTTTGAAATGCGTCCATCCATATTGTCACATTCAATATCTGCAGCCTAACCAAGAGTATTTATTAAGGAAAATGTAAGCAGTGGGGAAAAAAAGTTTTATTTTAGCAGTTTAATCTGTTTCTGTGGAACATTTGTTTAAAAACTGTCTTCCTACATCCATATTTTACAGTAAAATGGAAAATAGCCTAGAAACACTTAGTTATGAAAACAGCTTGGTAATGGAGGTTTTACATTTTTGTGATTTCTGTCTTGATTATTTCTGCTGGTCCTTTTTGCCAAATAAATTAAAGTAAAACATGTTTTTGATCTTTCAGTGTTTTGATAATTTGGACCCAAAGAAGTTTCAACATATTTTCTTAATTATTTTTTTTATTATTATTATTCCAGAGAGCTGTTTCTGTTTACGAACACCAGCAAATGCTGCTGGAACGAACTCCTCAGTCACACCTTTGAAAAGCATTTTGTGGCTCCGCTGAGGAGTGGTTAAGAGCTGGAACGTGTTTATCCTCTGCGCTAGAATCTACACTTTTTTATTAATCCCCAGTTAAAACAAAGGACTATTGTGACTCATCTCTCTCTCTCTCTTTCTGTATATTTCCTGTGCTTGGTAACTCAGCAGGCATCATTGTGACATTCAATGTAATGGCTCCTCTGGTCAAAAGTCATTGTTTTTCTTTTTCCTGTAAATTTGCCACAAGGTAATTGCATTCTAAGAGTGCTGCAGAGGTGAGACCAGAGAGGAAAACGGTTTTTAGTCATAGGAAAATATGTTATGAATAGCAACGCTAACATCCTGTGGCTGCTGTTGCTCATTCGCTTGGCTCAATGATGCCATTCCTCCGTGAGTCACATTTAAGCTAAAGGTTTATTTTCATAGCCGAAGGGAATTCTGCTTTTTCTCCTTGCTGAAGCAGCCAGGATCTCTAATGTTCTGCACATGAAGGTTTATTCGGCTCTGGGCAGGCTTTTTATTTCTGCTGGAATTGCTGCTCAGAGACTTGATTGTGATTTGTTTTAAAACAGCAGAGCTAAGTAATTTACATCACTCTGGCAGGTGAAAAAGGCCTCGGGGGCGTCTTACTTAAAGGCACAAACACACATGAATGTTTACACATCCGCACTTAGAGACAGATACAGCTACTGAGCAGTTATCTTGCTATTTAAAGCCTCTATTAAAAAAAACAGCTAAATCCGCTTTTATTAGAATAAACGCCACTTCTAGAAGCAACACCATCTAAGTGTGAAATATTTAAAGCTACAGTGTTTTAAAAGTGTTTTCTTCTGCTTTTGTTTTTATTTATGCAATGGATGTAATTTTTATCAGGCTAATTATGACATCAGGAAAGGATAATCACAGTAAACATTAAACACAGCTTGCAAATCCTGATTTAACTTGTTGATGGGAAAATAAGCTATCCAGTAAGTGTGTTAAACTGATCTAAACTGGTAAACTCTACTTCGCTGAGTTTTATTGGCATGAAGAAGCAGTTTGAAATCATACTACAGAATCTCAGTCTTATTTAGATCTGGACTTAATATAGGCAACTCAAAACTTCAATTTTACATTTTTTGAGCCATTCAGATCTGAACTTCTTGGGTACTTTGCATCATCAATTAGGAGGTACTTGGGAGGTAAAAGGTCAGTCAATAATTAAAGAAGCACTTTTATTTATTTTTTATGGAGCAGAAAAACCTATTTCCTAAGGCTACATTACTATAACATGAAACACTTTTTGGAGGTATTATGTGTAGCTGCTATCTTTATGGTTCTCTGAGGCTGATTGTTTCTCCTATTCCAGCATCCTTCTCTGGATTAAACCCTCTGCATCCTCTTCCATTACTGTTTTTTTCTCCTCACTATCTAGTGATTTAGATCTTCATCCCATCATCCAATATACTCATCATCATTTTACATCACACATTTTTAGAAAGCACTTTCTAAAGTAAAATCCTAACCCACTGTTTTTCAGCTTCAATCAATATAATTTATAATGACAAGCAACAGATGAGACTAATGTTCTTTACATTTGTTGTTTGAATATTATTTAGCATGTATTTCAAAAATGTTAAGGTCATAAATATAATTAGTTATTTTCCAACCCTGGTGCCATGTGATTAAAAGGGTTGCAATCGATCCAACTAGAGGAA